CGACCTGCCCCTCTTGCCCGTGCACTCCACTCGTGTTGCGATCTTGATCATATCCGCCGTCACCTTGGGGTCCTTGTCGAACTCGGTCACTGCGACCATGCGCATCGCGGCAGAGAACAAGTTGAACAGCAGCGGGGCCAGGTTGCACCCCTGTCGGAGACCTTGGCCGACGTCAGTATGGAAAGCTGTATATTGCGCTTGTTTAGTACTATGGAGAGCCCTACTAAACGTACTCTTGCGCCTAGTACAGCAGTACCGAGAGCATATGCATGAAGCACCTGCCACAACACTCTCAGTTTAACATATACACACAAACATAGTACACGCTGCTTGGATCAACCCCGCCGATGCTCCCTCGCCCCGTCCCTCCGTCTTAGTAATAGAGTAGTACTATAGCGTACGCGTACTAGTCCTTGCGTATCGTATGGAGAGCTGTACTAAACGTACTGTTGTTTTGAGTATGGTATGGAGAGCTGTACTTCACGCAGTGTTTTTTTTAGTACAGTAATTTAAAGCTGTACTAAACGTACTATTGCGCTTAGAACCGTACCGAGAGCCGTACTAAACCCATCGTACAGCAGTACAGCATTGCAAGCTGTACTAAACGTACTATTGCACTAAGTACAGTTAGGGTTGTCAATCGGGCAGATTTTGGAGCCAAAAATGCAAGGTTCCATTTAGTACAGTGTAGTATTTATATTCCAGTATCGAAACCCGTACTGAACCGCCAGTACCAGTACAGTATGGATGATTGAATACTGTACTGGGTCGAGTATAGCATTGAGAGCTGTACTAAACGCAATAGTACTATAGTACAGTATTGAGAGCTGTACTAAACGCAACAGTACGTGTAGTACAGTATTGAGAGCTGTACTAAACGCAATAGTACGTATAGTACTTTGGTGAAATACTGTACTGGGGCGAGAGTAAGTATTGAGACCTGTGCTAACCGCAATAGTACGTATAGTACAGTATGAAGAGCTGTACTAAACGCAATAATACGAATAGTACGTATGAAGAGCTGTACTAAACGCAATAGTAAGTACAGTACAGGATGGAGGTACGTGCTAAACCCCCAGTACAGTACCGTGAACCAAATACTTACTAAAATACTGGAAAGTACTAACAGTACGTACTATACTACATGGACCCTTGCAAAAATGTGACCGGTCCATTCAGCGATTTTGGGGGGTTACACACGGATTGGGTTCTTTTCGGCTCTTGGGAGTGCCCGCCTATTACCGTATGTGGCACAAGATAACACACCCCCTCGACCAATTTTCGAAGCTCGATTTCTCAATTGCAGTCACAGTGCCGAAAATGGCGGAAAATGTATTGTTTCGTTTATGCATATCTTCTTTGTTGTGGAGTAATCGAGCTTTGGAAATCGGTCCAGGGGGTGTGTTATCTTGTGTCATATACGGTACACTGATTGAACACTACATCCCTCAGTTTGTTTGTGCAGGTAGTTCTGCGCCCAGGCAGCAGCGTGGCTCTCCATACGTTACACACACGTGGACACAAGTCCTACAGAGGCGACTGTAAGCTCGGTTTTCTCTTAAAGTCAAAGGGCGGACGAACAACACCAAAAAACATGTTTTGTTTAGCTCTTTGCTCCACGCCGAAGGCGACCTGTGCTCCTCTCGAAGAAGCGAGCTTACAGCCCTTTGCCTTGTGTTTACAGCTATAACACAAACAAACCGTATCCGAATCGCATCAGTTAACCACGAGATCTACATGTCTGAAAACGGCCCCTCCAGTGGGGCTGCAGCGCCCACACCAGCAGACCCTCCCAAAAGAAAAAACGAAGTCCGCGCCATTCGGCAGCAGGAGGCGCGCTGCGCGAAAGCTGAAACAAAACAAAACGAAGTTTGAACAGAGGACGAGGCAGTATATGGTTGCCGCGTGAGCAGAAGATAACACGCGGCGCACTATCGAATGCGGCAGCCTCACCGTCGCAGAGAGAACGCTGGAGGAAACAAAGGAGCAGTTGGTCAAAAGTAAGAAAATTGTGGAAGAGAGCCAGGCTAAACCTCGCTGCCGCCGCCGCCACCGCCGCCGCCGCCGCCACTGCTGCTGCTGCTGCTGTTTTTCAGCAGCAGCAGCGGCGGCGGCGGCAGGTGTCTGCGTGGCTTCACCGCCCGGCTGCTGCTCGGGTGTGTCATGAGGCATGTGTCCTAGAGTGGGACCACCCAAAGGTGTTGTGTTGTGTCCCACAGCAGCGCACATCAGAGCACACACACGAGCGGCGCCCTCGCGCGTGCGCGTCAGGTGTTTTTAGGGAGCTTTGGGACCGTTCCGTGAAATTTTATTGGTCAGTCGATTTTCCATCAGGAAGATCCGAGGTCACTTTTCAATTTTTTTCCTATAGGAAATTTGCTGCTTTGACACCCCTAACAGTATGGAGAGCCGTACTAAACCCCCAGTACAGTTAGTATTGTGCGTCAAATACTGTACTTTGTCCAGCACAGTACCGGCCGAAAACCCGTACTAAACCCCCAGTACAGTACAGTATGGAGACCTGTACTAAGCGCAATAGTACATTTAGTACAGTATTGAAAGCTGTACTAAACGTACTATTGCGCTTCGTTCACTACCGAGAGCCGTACGAAACCCCAGTACAGTACAGTACAGTACAGCCCTATACTTCAAGAAATACTGGAAATTACGTTTAGTACGTACTGTACTAAAGGGAAACTTGGTCGTTATGTGTACGGTACGCCTACATAGTGCCCTCAGATCCTAAACGCGGCATTACGCCCTGCGGTATTACCGTCAAACGCCAACGCTTACTCCATCAAAACGCGACAATACTTGTGCGGAATTGCCGTCAAATTCCACCGCTGGGTCAAAGGCCGGCTACCTGTAGCAAATGGGTAGACCCAACCTAGGTTACCAGTCAAAGATAAAGTCACACCATTAAACTTGTCAGCGCTGACTTGTCTAATGGTGTATCTTCATATTACAATAGATATGCTCAATGCTCATTTGCACCAGGCTGGATCGCATTTGAATAGTTTTTTTTTGCAAAAAGAGTGGCCCGCATACGGGTACGCTTTTTGTTTTGCACAAAAAAAGCTGTTTAGAGGGATCGTGTGTGGATGTATGTGCGCACGAGAAAAAGAATAATTTTCATGCCCAGGGGCGTGAAAAAGACGCGATGGCTGTCTGATGTCTGTCTGTCTGTCTGTCTGTCTGGTGTCTGCGCGCCCTAAATAACCCAGCAGACTCGAGCCCATTTCACCATCTCGGCACCAAATTGCAAACTAAAACTTGCGCACAACAAGTAACATTTTGCCCGAGCTGTCCCAACCGCTACCTTTGCAATCCGTGGTCGGTGTCTCGAGATAGCACACCGTTTGTGCAAATATATATGTCACATGGACGCATCCCCGACTTCTCGGCCGGGAGGCGTCATTTTTGTTTTATGGGCAACAAACTACACGCACGCAAGAAACCACGACGCACTGCCGTGCTGCACACATTGCTGCTGCTACTGGCAAGACACGCACTACACAGAGACAGGGAACATGGACAAGGGGGGTGGGATACACACACATACTGCTGTTAGCGACGGCGGAGGAAGCGGAGG